AGATGCTAGTAACATACCGGATTCTTGCTCCCAATCTATCACTAAACCAGAACCTGAAAAAAAAGATACACAATCAAACAGAGATACCAAAGTGTGGAACTGTGACCAACACATACAGTGAAGTTTCTTAATATTGGTAAAACATGGTGAAATCAGCAACAAAACTTACCCCTTGTGGATGGCAACATGTCAGTTAAAGCTTGCAATGAAGTTACTAACTCTAATTTACGGTCTATAGAATAATTCCTCCATATCCGTACAGCACCATCATCTAAAACAAGCATACATTATTAGCTGCACTTAAATACAAAAGAAGATAATGTCACAATAATATAAGGTTATTACGAGGATACTGCAAAGTACGCACGAAGACAGTACAGTGGGAGTATCGACTGATGCGTAGCGAAGGTCGATGCAACCATGGACTGTCTGAGTGCATAATTTGCTGTATCCACGTAATAACCTTATTATTATACATCTTTTCCTCCCAGAAATATATAATGAAATGCCGAAATCCGAAATGTTTAGAGCAGATTTAGTGAACTTCTTTGTGATTGGCCTGCTCAAACCCTGTAGGCAGCCAAGTTAGTTTTTTATTATTACAGGACGCGTAATCGTTCCATATTTGGAATTCGTGTTTCCTAATATGGTAGGATGAAAATACCCAGTGCAATACCGTAAAATTATGGAACGCTGTAACTTATGGCATTACGGGACAAATGTGTGATAATTTCTGTTATCACCATGTCCTTGTCACCTTCAATGTTAACATTATAGTGGTTAAATTATATTCAGAGATTGTTACTTTATTTGTTTATTAGATATCTCTAAACTGCAATTTCTATTACAATGATGCAATGCAACAGATTGGATGAGGCTTCTATTAGCACATTCACACATTAGCGAAATGGTGAATTTTTCGTTGTCAATTATTAATAATAATAAAATTATGGGTGCAGCTTCTATTAGGGATGCGGCTTTTAATACAGATTTTATGGTAGCACCAGTAGGACTCAAACTAGATGCTGCTACATCCTATGAAACTTTTGTAAGTAATACTTTGAGGAGACAAATACTCAAAGAAAAATTTGTAGCAGAGGTCATTTCACTGAAATCCAGGGATAGTCACAGTGACTTAATTATACACCTTCAACTAACAAGATTGCAAAAAACATAAACACAAGTAGACATACCCGATCCTGTGAGTAAAAGTCCTATATCATGACCATTCATGAAGTCTATAGAAGTTATTCGAGTAGGTTTCACATTTCCATTAAGAAAGTAATTAAGTTTGGCACCTTGTTCCCAATTCCATGTACTGCAAGAAAAATATACAGTCAGAATCAAACTTAATTCTAATATATAATAATACTGGTTATCATATGAGGTTATTACGAGCATACCTCAAAGTATGCACAAAGACAGTACAGCGGAAGTATAGACCAACTCGCAGTGGTGGCCGATGCGACGATGTACTGTCTTTGTGCATACTTTGTGGTATCCTCTTAATAACCTTATTATTATACATCTTTTCCTTCTAAGGATACATCATGGGAATGCCAAAATCCGAAAAGTTAGAACAGAATCAGCAAACTTGTTTGTATGGAGTCCGATCAAACCCTGGTGGCAGCCATGTTTTTTTTGTTTTTTTATTCCTTGTTTTTCGAGTTTTTATAAGGCAATTTTTTTGAGGAGGGCGAAAAAATAAATAAAATTAATTCTTTTTTTCCATTAGATTTGTGTGATTCTCAAAGTATTGTAAGTGAGATTATTGATCGGAGAAAAGAAATTTTATTCTATATATAACCTTGTTTCTCATTTGCGCAAGACTTTGATCATGATACTCCCATGAAAATACAACTTGGATTTGGTATGAGGTGGGCGGTAAAAAAAATGAAGATAAAAATAATATTTTTTTAGCAATTTTTTTGTGTTTACAAGTTGGCGGGCGAGAGAAATTACGCTGAAATAAAATGTTATTTTTATTTCATTTTCGGCTCATGTTTATTCGGCCGGTTTGCAAAACAAGGGATAATAAAAGTCTGGCCTAATGCTGCAATAGAAGAACAAATAAATATGTATGTGACCTAAGTATTTGTAATATATGCGATACTAACCATATCCCTTCTCTGTCTGCAACAACCATGTGAGGTTCATACGGATGAAATTTTAAAGCAAGTGGCACATTTTGATTTTTGTTTATAAAAATTTGGTCGTCCAGACGACTGAAATCTGAGAAATAAAAACAAAGGATACATGTTAGTAATTTTGGAGAAAAGGCAACCCAAATGTCGAGTCAAACTATGGACAAATGTTATGTTTTCATTTCATATGTCACATCAGCTCGAGAATAATGGTAATGTTTTACAATATAAGAAATTATAAAAGCATAAAATAAATTTTTCACTCAAAAATTTATTAGTTGTTAGAAAACAATGTGTTTAAAATGAAGTCCACAGACACTTTGGTCATTTTAATGATTTTGCCTGACGTAGCCAATTCTTTCAAAATAATTCTTAAACTTACGAGCTTTAAGCTGTAGTTCTCTGGCTTCTTTCCGTACCCGAGCATTCCTAATAAACCGAAATTCCCTTTTGTGGTGTAGCACACTCTCGGGATCAATCTCCTCAGGCATCTGAATATTGAGAGCAACAGAATGAGACAACGTCTAGACAAAATAAAAGTATTAACCATGCAGTAGACAGATATATAACAATCAGAGAGAGAAAGAACACTTAGATAGGGGATTCTGTCAAATTACTGTAAATGACTTTGCTTTCAACAAATGTTTGCGGATTCTAGTCAGAAAAACTGACAAAAGTTCTAGCAGTGAACTTTGGATCTTTAAGACCAAGAGTTGCAAACTTTCATTCACTTGAGTACCGTCAAATTAGCAAATCGAAGTTAAATTATCAAATTACAGAAACATGAAAGAGTCTACAGTATTGCTACACCAATACAGACAAAGAAAGGAAAAAAACCAGAAGGAGTGAGAAGATTCTATTCAGGAACTCCAAACTGATTTCACAGCACTAGCATGTTTTACTTGTATTGTTTGCCATGCGTAATAAATAAACCATTTTTATCTGAAGAAGGCATTTGCAATTACTATAAATTTATCTGTTTTGTTCTATGTCAAAATTATGAAGTAGAACATTCACACAAAACTAATATAACAGGTACAACATTTCTGCTAATGAAAATGTTACAAGTTTTATATAAAATTATAGAATACATACCTTCATAACAGATTGTGCAAAGTACTTAGAACTCCACTGTGGAAATTCAGTGTCAATTGTAAGTCTTTTTGTTGATAACACTTCATCTGAATCTTCATATGTCTATAAATAGAAGACACTTATAAGTTATCTCTGTACTTTATAGTACATGTATCTGTGTAACACAGTTTACACGAGTTTTTTGTGTGGACAGACATATGCATAGACAGATGTTTTTTTGAATTCAACTTTTTTGAATTCAGATTCTAAAGTAAAAGAGAATATTCAGGTTAGCTTTTATGAACACTGCAATACTTACTACACTAGGACCCTTGCCAAACATCTTACGGGATCGTGGGAATTGATGGGAATGAAGAAACTGTGCTCCTATAGGTGGCGGGTTCTGCGGACGAGATGGATGTGGTTGCTCACCAGGTCGTAATGCTACTGGTCTTGCTATTTCATGAGGTATGTGTAGTTTATCATTTGGAGGTGAATCACTGCAAGGAGGAAAGAATATTTATTTATACAGCTCTTTCAGGAGCAGCATCCGCATTGCAACCAAGACAGTTCACACTTTGATGTTGATACAATGTATCTAACCATGTAGATTACTTCTACAACAAAAGCGGTATTACCACTGTGGCACCAAGTGAGATTTGTTTTGTCTGAGGAGACTTAACTTACGTAAACATACTATCGATTAACCTAGATTAAAACACACAATGAATGTTTGCAATCGCCATTTATTTCAAAAGAGGGTTATTTTTAAAAATCGTGATTATACAATTGAACGCAAAAACAAAACAAAAAACAAAAGAAATGTTACTATCAAGTATATAAAAAAAGGTTAGATTAATTAGTGAAAAAGCATGCACACAGTTGAGCAAATCAGTGTAAAAAAAACACATACAAAAAACTAATTTAAAAAGCTAATGATGTCGAGTTTGTGTTTTATCGGTTGTTTTTATATATGGAAACATGTATTCAGTGTTTACGGACGGGTTTGGCAACGACTGTTCGGTAGTTGACGGTGGCATCATGCTTCCCCATGGATATGGATATGCGTATGAGTACTGATAGTACATGGGGTAATACGGGTTGTACACGTTATTTAAAGTCAGTGTAATCCCGTACGACTGCGTCATCAAACCATCGTTCAGTGGTGCTATCGGTGGCGGTCCAGGTGCTATCGGTGGAGGTACGGGTGCGATCGGTGGAGGTATGATGCTTGTAGTACAGGTCGTCAGTACTTCGCATTCGGGCATATTTTGTTTCTCGATGTTCGGTCGGCTAGCTTCTTTGGGGTATTTTTTGGGAAATTTCACGGGAAATACCGAGTTCGTTTCTAGCGTCTTTTTTACTGGATTGCCATGTGCCGGTTTTGTTTTCTTCCGATTTTTTGTTGTTGTTGAAATTGTCAATAATTGTTTGGAATAACGCAGATTCCTCGTTTGTCGGCACTTTCCCTTTGAAGTGTTTATCTAGAATTGCCTTGTCGACATTCAGTACGGCGATTCGTGTGGCCAAACTTCCACTTGCTGTTTGAAAAAGATATTTTTTCTGGTTGCTACGAATCAAGGGTGCGATTTTTTCTCTAAACGTTGATTGCGATGACTCGTATGCCCGTTTTGTTTACGTCTAACGCCGTTTTCTTCCCTTTGATTTCTGTTAATAACTTTGATATTTTACCATTTAGTTTGGCGACGTCCTTTTTTTCTTCCTCGTGACCACGAGCATTCAAATCACCGCACTGCTCCGCTGTAGCGCATTTGTCGTTATGACATCGGTTGGCACGATGACCAGCGTATAGGTGGCAATTTCCACATTGGATAGTGCCAGGGATTTTTTTCTATTTGCTAGCAGTATTTGTTTGTAAGATTTCTGTGCTGGGACTCCAGATCTTGGAATTCAGTTTCCATCTTGTCAACTTCTTTTTCACGTTCACGGAGCGAGTTTTCGATTGGTGAACTGTATGTAAACGTGTCAAAAAAATCATCAGTGGCTTCCCGCGTATGACTGCCGTCTTCTAAGTCTGCGAACAATGTGCGGGGCTGGAGAGCGTCACTTTCGTTTCGCCGAGTTGATACTTTCTCTATTGGCTCGTTGTGTGGATACTTTCTCATGTGGACTCTCAATACCCAAGCGTGAGGTCGGTGTCTGTAGCTTTGCTACAGCGTTGACGATCATACGTTGATGAACTGCGCTGACTTTGGTGGAAAACAGGTCCAGGTCTTTCGGCTTCAGGTATTTCAAACAGTTGACATTCGTGAAGTCATGGCGAAGAAAATCATCGAGATATCTAAGTAAGCCCTTATCGATCGATTTGATAAACTCAAATGTGGTTTGCCGTTGTGGAGTACTGGGTGTGTTGCTTGCCATGTTGTCGAAATTGAAATGAATAGATAGTATTAGTGTGGTTAATTAATCTACAGAAAAATCGTTACGTAATAAATGTGTATAATTTTGAATAGGGGTGTACAGAGCAGGAACACTTATTTTAAAATTATTCTAAGATGAAAAAACTTAAAAATAATGTTTTTGTTTTGTTTTGTTCTGTTTGTAAACAAGATGTGACTATTTTGCTTATGAAATCGAAATTGTGGATCCCCATTGTAAATGGATCATGGAATATGCCATGCATTTTGATAAAGTCGGGTTGTTATCTCATGGGCAGAAAGCAGCACACCTGATCTACATAGAACTGCCACTGCTTTATTTATATACGCGCTTCATAGATTTGTAGAAATGGCCCTTTTTGTTCTAGAAAACTCAGTCATCAAGGGTCACCATGCATATCACAGTAGAGTGTTCATGGGCAAAAACTACCAGAGTTGGATCGAAGATTTCAATCCGCAAGATGTGAACGCAGTTGGAGTTTATGATGATGGCGTGTTGGCAGGTCACGTACCATACCCATCCAGTACAGCGTTTTCTAGGATAGTACAGCTCTACCCCCGATGTTACTGTATACAGTAGGGTTGCCTCGTCCAAGCGAACAACCATGGCCATGGATGTGGGCAAGGGGTGGCGGGATTATTATTGATTGCCGTTACATTGTTCATTCCAGTGCCACATATCAAAACCAAGTTTTTGATGATTTACAAAGCGTTACACAAGCTCTCCCACAATGCTGCCTACGTGTTGTATAACATAGAACATCACGTTCAAACCAAACGGCCCTTTTTAGGGCCAACACATCCTTCAAAAAGAGAAACACCGTGCAATATAAGTGTAAAATAGTATGAGTGTGTTCACATAACCAAGTTTAATAAAAAAAACATAACATAACGACAATAAATAACACCACCCATCACATCTGTGATGGTACATTTGTGGTACTAGTATTAAAGCAGTTTGACGTTAACCATAGACAGAGGGTCTATGCGTTAACACAATACAACGGGGTGAATGAACCCTTAAAAAGGAGATTCACTTGTCTCTGATTTTTTTAATTTAAATGCCATCAATCGAGGTCATGAACGTTAGAGGTCAACAACATAAATATTACTGCTACGCTTAAAAAAATTAACAAATAGTTCATGTATTGAGAATGCACTATTAATTCAAATTTAACTACTTCTTCAAAGTAATGGAATGGCCCACTTTCCATAGTTGGAAACGCGTCCCGGGACCCCTTTGTGTGTACACGTGATTTACTTTCGTATTCTAGCTCTGACTACAAATCGAAGCGATCATCAGATATTATGGCACTTAAGCAAAACACCAAAAATCGAATGTATGAACCAGGGCAGTTTTTGAGTACTGATTTGAGAAGTTTGATCATCGAAGAAGTAAAAAACAGAGGAGGACATGTTGAGTCCGGTGAACTCCCTCGTGGAACATTGGCGCATGTTGGTAGGAAATTCAAAGTAGACGAACGTACAGTGAAGCGACATTGGACAAGATATTGGCAAACTGGGTCCTTCCAAGCTAAGCGTCGTTCAGGTGGAAAGGACAAAATTCTTGGAAGACAAGAAATCGCGCTACTCGAAGGCCTTAAGCGAGAACGACTGTCTGTTTCACTCAATGAACTCCGGGACGAGCTGCTGCAATTCACACCCGTGCTTGGGGTCTCATAGGCAACGGTTTGTAGTACTGTGAAAAACGATTTCAGTGACGATAGCCGGCCAAGGAAAAAAATGGCAATCACGCGAGGAGAGAGATTTACGGACCGAAA